GGGGGGGCTGGGGGGGCGGGGGGGGAGATGAAGCAAATGAAGCAGCAAAAGCCTGCCCAATCCTCTGGGACACTCCTGGGAGAAGAGTGTCACAGCCTCTTTGCTGCATGATCTTAAACCCCTCTCTCTCTCTCTCTGTCTCTCATATGTCCAGCTTATTACTGGCTTTGTCTTCTCCCAGCTTCATTCAACCACTTTGCCCCTGTGGCAAAGAGTCATTGTGTGCAAATCCTCCTCCTGCAGCCTTCTCTGCTTTCCTCTCTCCTTTTCCCATCCTATCTATCCACCAAGAGGGTACTTAGATAAGGCCCCGGGTTCAGTCTGACGAAATCAGAACTTCCCACTGAGCAGAGATTAAACTCTGAGTGACCGAACGGACAACTTCTCTCAGTCTCTGCGGTTTGCTGGCAGACTGGAGGCTGGCGGAGAGTTTCCATCTCTCTCTTTTTTTTTTGACAGTTTAAACACCCGTCTGTCTGGGTGCCTCCCGAGACTCTCCGTAAGTGCACTTTCAGTCTCTCTCTGCTTGTGTGCATGTTGCCTTTCGCTGTCTCGCCATATACCTGCAGTCCATCATCACTCTCAACTTTTTCTGCGCATACTTTGAAGATCTCCACACATCTTTCTCTCTCTCCTCTGTCTCCCTTGACAACTGCACCAGTCCATCTCCCTTATACAAGTTCTCATTCTTGTGTGTTCCACGTCCGCTGTTTCATACAGATGTATCCTACTTGTCTCTATCTGTCAGTGATTTTCCCCCCTACCAGGCAGATATAGATATCTATCCCTTATAGACGATATAAAGGATTTAGTGCATCCTGCTGTTTTGAGTTTTTTTTTTAACTCCACAATCCCTTTCAATGAAGCAGCCAAGCACGATGACACTAAACTGACACCCAGCCTTTGACCTTGAGGTGTTTGTGGAGGGTCAAGCTTGCAAGGGAGGGGTTTGTAGTCCGATACTGCCACTTGGTGGAATATGTGAAAACTGCACTCTACATTAATCACTGTTGTGTTCTACAACAGTGGTGGAAAGCAACTAAGTACATTTATTCAAGCAATGTATGTATGTTTTAAGGTACTTTACTTATTTATCAATTATTTATAATTGTATGCTATTTATACTACATTTTAGAGGAAACTATTGTACTTTTTACTCCAACTAATTTATTCAATTTTGCAGATATTATATATACACACAACATATGATCATCTTATAAAGTATTAAAAGGAAACACAACTTGTCCTTTTTGTGCTGATAG